AGTCGGTGGCACAGTATTGCTTTGAGGCAATGTTTGCTTTTAATGGATTGTTTTTAATTTGCCACCCAAAATGGCGAAAGTCAACAAACACGTGTTGTGACATCATGCATGCACTTGCAAGAGAACCTGAAAAGAGTTCCACCTGAAAATTAATCAGTTACTGTATCTGAAAATTATCATCGCCAACTATTGCGGTCTTATGTCAATCCTACTATCCAGCGGAAGCTCCCTGAAATGCATAACGCGCAATAACGCGCAATGTTTTGCAATGTTTTGGAATGACCAAATGAGAATAAATGAGCCAATTCTATTAGAAACACATAAGAGTTTCCCCCACTGGATAGAATTTCTAATTTCGACGCTCGAACAGTCGTTATTGTCAAAATAAATGGTTTTCAGCACGGAAAACATTACAATATTTCGTCTAGTTTGAAGTTATTTAATACGGTTGACCTTTGGTTGACCTTTTAGTCTGGCTGTAGCCAAACGGCCCAACTTCTACCGCTGGCAGCACGGGTTGTGTTTCATGTATCCCAGAAGCGTTTGCAGGGTTGAAAAATAAACATCGTGGCGATCATTTTGGTACCAAATACAACCTACTCCGAGTGATTTTTCGCCTTCAATTTAGCTTTTAATCGCAGTGAAATTTGCGGCAATGCGATCACATACTAACAGCGCATAATATTCTAAGTGTCTACGAAAATTCATGATATTTGATGGTAAATACGAAAAACTTCTCCAGTGTTTTAGTTTTTTAGTTTGATTCCTATGTATTTTATAGATTCTCTGCCTAAACTATATTGACTTTTACGGGGGTATCCGCTGGCGCACTGCCGACTCAATGTCCGAAATAGTTGGCGATGTCTGGACCTTGAACGCGAAACTAAATCGCGCGAATTTAAAGGTGAACGATTGTTTTAATGGCACTTTCAAGGCTCCCCTTATATCACAGAACAACTCAACAATCTGCTGATGAGGGGACAAAATCTATTTGTTGACATTTTTGTCAGCTTCAGATTGTAGAAAGAAATGATTGTGAGCAGGTGAACATATGAACAGCAAATCTAAATATAAATGCCTTCATGTATATCACCAGAAAGAAAGAAATCTATCCTTAGCGGAATTATTCAAAATATCGCCACACAAATAAATAAATTAAAAGTACATCTTGACTCCTTGTCTAAATATAAAGACAATCAGTGGGCTATTAGAACTGCAAATTCATGAAATCATATTGATTATTGGTTTGCTAAACAGCAAATCTAAATCTAAATGCCTTCATGTATATCACCAGAAAGAAATAAAGCTATAAGGACCGGAATTATTCAAAATATTGTCGATCGTTTGCATCGTGAAAATCCAGCATACTGCATGCAAATAAGCTCGTGTGAAAATCCAACATACTGCATATAAATAAGCTCGTATTATCAAAACTGTAATCCTGAGAAGAATCATGCGACTGCGCAATACAATCCAACATACTGCATGTAAATGACCTCGTATTAAAACTGTGATCCTGAGAAGAATCATGCGAGCGCAATACAAAATAAATAAAATCGAATAAAAACAAAGAGTCGTCGAATGCTCGAGCTGACGACAATTTCCGAAAAATATTTACATCCGACCGATCGAATGACGTGGATTCAGTACTGTTTCCCCAATATAACTCGGCCGGGGAACTGGGCACGAAAAAGCAAGAACGTCATGTAACGTCAATTATATATGTGCGACAATGTGTTACTATGCGTGTAACTTGTAAGTAATGTATGTGTGACGATGTGTTTCTATGTGTGACGATGTGTTGCCATGAGCTGCTATGTGTGGCGATGTGTTGTCTACACACGTAAAAATCTCACATCTTGTAACAAGTCTGCCAACAAGCCGTCAACAAGATGTATTCGCACTGCTTGTTACAAGTTGTCAACAGGTTTGGAACAACTTGTTGACAACTTGTAACAACCTTGTCGAAATTATCAGACTTGTTGCAAGGTTGTTCTGACAAGTCCGTTACATGCTTGGTATAACAAGATTGTTACAACCTTATGTTGACAACCTTGTAACGTCCTTGTTATATCATGGCTGTAACAAACTTGTTGGCACAGTCTTGTAACAAGGCTGATAATGCAATCAAGCTTGTTACAAGTTGTTAACAGCTTGTTCCAAACTTGTTACCACAAACTGGGAACAAGCAGTGCGAACACAACTTGTTGACAGCTTGTGAACAGACTTGTAACAACTTGTTACAAGCTGTGCGTTTTTACGCGTGTATGTGTGAGCACTGATCATGTGATTTTGGACACCGGTCACGTGACCAAGCACGCATTCTAGGTCTAATATTTCTATGCACCTGACCCTCTCAACGATTACTGATTGGTTAAGTGCGCGTGAGTGTATAATAACGTGTGTTATCCAGTTTAAGTGCATGAAATATTTTCGCGACGACCGTTAACGCTTGATTCGAAGGACGCGCAGTGTTTCAATCCAGAACCTTGCTCAGAGATATGAAAAACTAGTTTCATATTATTCTGACACTGTAGAGTACAATGAAAAAATTGTTTCCTCGCCAGAACAGGATTCGAACTCGCATTTACGGATTTCTAGACTGCCATGCACTCTACCTTGCCGTTATAGCTGATCGAGTCAGTGGAGCTGAGTCGTCAGAGCAATTAAGCGCCTTCCTCTGAAAAGGCCCCGATGGGGTCGAGTGAGATGAATAATGTATGACTATAAGAATGCATACTGTATAAGTATGTATCTAGAATGGCGGTTCTGTAGAAACCCGAAGATGCCGAGTTCGAATCCGACCGCTCGAGACAACGAATCTTTTGTTGTACACTCTGCAATATGTCAGAATAATATAAAATTAGTTTTACTGATATATGTGTACAACAGTTGTAGAATTCGCCTGTCTTAAAGTTAGTCTGTTGGCGTTTACCCAGTCCAAATTATTACGTGGAGATAATTTCATTCGTTAAGGCCTGATTCCACGGGTGCTTTTTCTCGGCGAAATGCGAGATATTTCGCCTGTTTCTTTTGAATTGCGACTACTCGAATAAATTATTTCTACTTGATTGCCCACAATTCAAAAGAAACAGGCGAAATATTTCGCCCGTGGAATCAGGCCTTAACGGGCTCCCCGTAACGAGAGTTAATATCGGAGTGGCTTCGCCGCTTCGGTTGTCAATTATCAACAATAAATTTTATATTTGGTTGTTTTTCGTTATCAATGACTGGAACGACTGATATTACACATGACTTTAACACAATAGACAAATTTCCAACTTTAATAAAACCATTATACATTTTTTACGGCTACACTACTGTAACATAATTAATCTAAGTCAATTTATCTCAAGTTCACCCTCATTACAAATTATATACGTTTCGAAATGTTCTCGGAAACGTAACCTAGATCTAGGTATAATCAACAAACCGTGGTATGGTATGGTATGGTATGGTATGGTATGATATGGTATGGTATGGTATGGTATGGTATGATATGGTATGGTAAAACTTTATTTAAACACGCTAGCCTCGATCAACGTGAGCTGCTTTTCATGAGGGGCGTCACACAATCAGAACTACTTAGGGACGGGTCATTATTTATGGTGGGGGTGGCACCGAAGAGAAATGTTTTTCGTGGCAAAAATTTTGCTGACCCAACCATAAAAAAAAATATGATTACCCAACCTCAATTGTCAATTAAAAAATAATTACCCACCTAGCTCTTGTCAAAAACTTTACAACAGGATACCATTCAGTTGTCACACATGTCCTTTACCACTTCTGTGACATGAGTAATTTGATAACGGCTTGTGAAATGTTCTGCAGTCTAAAGTTTCATGTTGTCTAACTTGTCTGCACTTGTACTTTCTTTGGAAACACCATTTGTTTTGTCAAAATGATCAAGATAGTGACTCTGATTGATTCACACACTGTATTGTATTGACAAACGACTGTTGACATTGCATGCTTTTCAGTCTCCAATATTTCAGTGAGTCATGCTTTGGAAATGAAAATAAAATTTTATTACCCAACCCTTGAGTTGTTTTGTTTTTCATTTACCCGACCTTTTACTTATTCAAAATTTTGTTTACCCAACCTTTTTCTCTTCGTTGCCACCCCCTGCCATAAATAGTGACCGCTCCCTTACAAATTAAAGAATATACACATTAAACTATATATATACAAGTTAAACCATATAGAAAAACAAGGAAGCAAAGAATAATAGAAAAGGAATTATATAAAAAACTTAACAATTGGTGCGATCCAGAGGAGGTGTTCATGGCTGACGTATTACCCTTGCCTTGGTTTTTCCACCATGTTCCGACAGAGATGCCAAAATACTGCTTATGATCGTCAATACAGGCTGATAACTCAATGGGTAGCATCTGGACCAAACTGCAAGATTATTGCTGCAACCTAAATCTTCATTGTGAGGTAATCCTTCGCATGTTTTATAAGGCGAAGATTTGGTCATGATTTCGCTACCAAAAAAAATGATTTTTTTTGTCATGATTTCGCTAAAAAATTTCTTTGCTGTGATGATAAGGCCAGCCTCCTAAGGCAATACTTGGAGTTCCAGGCGTCAGTGTCTTGCAGGTTGGAAGATGGACAACAATATCACGGTAATGTGTTACCCTGAAACTTAGCGGTACCAGACCATCGTGCGTCAAAGTGTAATCATCCAACGTAATAATCCGACTCTGGGTTGACCAAAAGTGTGCAACATCAAGTTATCTTTCGTTGTCTTGCCATTATACATGATAAGTGTACTTGCAAGAGATGCAAGTGCTCCACCTAGAGAATGTCCTGTTACCCAGACTTTATAAGTTGGGTAGCTGTTCATCTCTTCGTTGACATATTTTTGCAAGTCGTTCCACACAACATCCAATGCGTCCGAGAAGTACACTTGAACTTGTCCGCCTGCTTCAAACGACTTTTTTGGCTCGACTAGTATACGAAGAATTTCGGTAACCATTGTTCAAAATGCTGAGTACCACGGAATACAATAGCGATGGCTTTTTCTGCGTGAGAGACAGCAACAAAACCAGAGCAAAGAGCGCCTCCTGAACATGGCTTTGTAACCTGCTTGACAAGGTGAAATGTGTCCACTTCGCTTGCTTTCGGTATGTACTTGGCCACATCGTCAGAGTATGCTAACGCGCAAAGATAGATCATTTTGTGCGCAAGGTTTTTGTCGTACTTAGCATGCACGATCTTGTCGCAGTCATCAAGGTTAACGATATTCTCCGTTCGCGAGCATTTATTTACCAAGCTGCCTTGAGCATGGCATGCCATGTCTTTTGGGCACCAGCAACAATTTGCCCCCGACCAAGTTTTGTGGTTAGTGCAAGAGACGCAGTCGCTCTGATCCGTACAATCATTACCACCAAACCAGGCGTTGGAATATCTTAAGGAAACACAAGCAAGGAGAAAGAACAACAAAGACATGTTCGCTGCGTGATGTTGCTCGTCTTATGACACTGACAAAGTAAGAAACCACTTGTTTCGATCTCAAAGGAAGAACTGGGAAAATACTTGGAATACATGCATGCATATAATTACTCTTCCTTATATGGCAAAGGTGCATAAGCAATCAACACCTTAATAATAACCGTTTTCCTAAATTGCAGGTTGCAGATTGGTGCAAGTTGATTGATATAGTTAGCTGAGAAAACCCTTGGCCTTGGATATTTCCATGGAGTTTACAATAAAATCATATACTAGTCTGGGTGAACAAACTGCACCCATGCCTACAGCCTACTACGACTGATAGAATTGATAAAATTGAGACCGCGAAATCAAGTATTTTGAGTCTAAATTTATGGATCAGTAAAATTCTAACAGTGGTTAACGATATGAATAATTTAAAGCTACTGTTTAAATAATGGGCTTGAATGCGTAAATAGATTACGGCAAGAAAATACGAAACTTAAGGAAGAAAGCAATGCTTTGAAAGATAGTCTTCATATAGCTAAATATGCTTTATCTGATTTGAATTATAAAGTAAAGGATCTTGAGAATGAAAAAGCTAGCCTTACAACTACTCTGAAAATTTTATATCAAGATTCTCATCAGCCCTATGAGCATTGCATGATTGCTCTAAACAAAAGGATGCAAATGTTGACCCACACAACAGTTGCTTGAATAAAACTAAATCCGTAATGACTCAGATAGACAGCGATATAATCCATTCTCAAAGTAGACTGAGCGACGAACCGATTATTGCGGTGCTTGATAACGAAAGAGCGGGACTTATAAAAGCTAATAAATCTCGCAAAACTAAACCAAAAATAGACAAAAGACCGCAAACCCCTACACATACGCCTAAACAGAATAGCATTCTCCCAGGAGGAAACACGGTGTTTAATAACAAAGCTACCATAGTGGCTGTCCACTCGACATTAAGAATGTTCACTATACAGGGTGTATAAAAAAAAACGCAACCTCGGAATTTCCCAAGAAATCGACATGGTTTTAAAGACAAAAGATTTTAGGCGCCTGGGAATTTAAAATGTCAAAACTATTGCACACGCGAGTGCATAAAGCAAAATTTATGCATTTATTTAATGCACAACAACAGTAATAAGATCTATTAGCAATTCGATTTCAATTCCCAGGGGCTTAAAATCTTTTATGCTTAAGAATTGCAAAGTGATTTCTTAGGAAATTCCGAGGTTGCATTTTTTTTTATACACCCTGTGCAAAGGGAGTCAACCAAGCAAATGATCCTATTCCCCTCTCACTAACCACTGAAGTAAAAAAGTCGATATTGAAGTTAATGATGTGAATGATCTTAATTCCACTAACGTTAGTGTAAGCGAGATCTCCAGTCAAAATCACCCAAATCCTACTACCAAATTTAATAAACCATCATATATCCAAATACCCAAACCCCGAAACATTTAGTTCCATGTCCCTTTCTACGTAGGAAGAGACATTGTGTAAAGGGATCTAAATTTTTCCCACTCTGTTGATTACACTGGAAACGTAGAGTACATTTTACTTTGTCTTTGTCTCAAGCAAAAACATAAAGATTAAACAGGCATTCAAAAATACACAACAACCACGAACATCTCGTTATTAAGGTTATTTCTTCGGGGAAATCTTCAAGTTTCAATAGAAATCTGGCGCATGCGCAACAAATTTCCCAGCTGTTTTCAACTAGTTAAATTTCCTTCAAAAAGGAATTTTCCTTCAAAATGGAAGCACTGTACCCAGTCCTTATTCGATTTTTTATACGTTTTGTCAGTGGTTTTCTGATAATGCAAGTCATTATTTTATTGTAATATCATGATCGCCTCGTTTTCTATTGTTCTCATAGGGAATTTAAATCCCGTATTTTCCTCATTACGCATGCAACAGGGAATATTCAGTTCGCTTTGTCTACTAAATTTCCCCGGGAAATTTAGTAAACAACAAAAGATTTCTTTGTCTATTAATCTTTCCTCATCAAAACTGCATGGGATGATTAGTAGACAAAGAAATCCTTTGTCTTTTACTAAATTTCCCGCTTCCATATTTAATGCAAACGGAAAACCTAAAACACTCAACAATTTTATTCAACATATTAAATTTTAAATGTACACAAGTATGACTTTGCTAAACAATTAAACGTCAAACTCCAACTCAAGACCAACTGTAAAATTCATGCTATCAACGTCCGTTTATATTTATGTTTATATTTACGTGACTAGCAGTGGCTCCTTGAAGCTCTTTTAGTCGCCCGTCTAACGCGTTTTGAAATGGCTTTAATTGTGGCGTTGTAAACAAGCTTATTTCAGGCTTGCTTTCCTGGATCGTACGGTTCATACCACAAAACAAGCTATACAGTACTTCGTGTCTGTAATCGCTGCCATCTTTCTTCCTCACTTCTACAGCAAATTTGCTCAGCCAGTAATTAATTTCTTCCAAATTAATAGAGTCTAAATTTGGAATCCTCTGAAATTCGTTTCTTTCTGCCTGAAAATCTTTAAACTGCTCGTTCCTCTCTTTAACCCACGCGTTGTACACATTTGTACTCCACGTAGTGTTCCTTATGGTATTCTTTGGCACTCTATCTTTTCGAACATTTTCAACTGTCCGGTCTGACACAAAATAGAACCTTCCAGTTGCAGCCATATTCGAAAACTAAGTTTAAAATCAATGCAGTGATTTACATAAGTCTCACAACAACAAAGCATGTCCCAAAGGTACACTTATTTCAATCAAACAACTTCATTGAAAACTTCATTGAAACAACTTCATTGAAAAATACAACTTAAACAACTTCATTGAAAAATACAAAATCAAACAGCTAAACTTATCTCTGCAGCAAACTTTTTACAAACTTTTTTCATAATATTACAAACTAATAACATGACTAGTCGGGAAATTAGCGATTAAATTTCCCTTCGCCTCGGGAAGATTTGTGAAAGTCCTCGGGCTTCGCCCTCGGACTTTCACAAATCTTCCCTCGGCGTCGGGAAATTTAATCGCTAATTTCCCTCTAGTCATGTTATTACTTATAATAATTGAATACAAAATTTCCCATTTTGAGTGAATAATCATTGATCACCTAAAACCACAAACCAAGTACTTCCCACACGGTTGCCACTATCTATGGTTGCCACCCTGGTTGCCACGAAGTTTTCTCCAGTGGCGGCGCCAGGGGGGGGCAAGGGGGGGCAAATGCCCCCCCAAATTATTTTTTGCCCCCCCATTTTGCCCCCCCTCAAAAAAATTATTAGTCACTAAGAGCGACTAAAGGCTACACAAGTGTTCTGTCGTTATCGGAAAATGTATGGCTTATAAGTTGTCATTACTCATTTGTGAATGCGCATATACATGAAACTATTTTTTACAGTTTCAATATTAGTTTGTAAATCTCTGAATGGTAAAACTTGCCAATACTCCAATAATACGTTTCAAAAAAAGACAAAAAAGCTTTAGTTTTGCAGAGTTAAATTCTCAAACGTGTAAGGCAATAATAAGATGAAAGTATCACGAAATTATTTGAATAAACCACATCGCATATATGGGGGGCGATATTCCTAGGGTACTCGCCCACCCCCCTGGGAGACGATATTCCTAGGATATTCGCCCCCGGGGGCGATATTCCAAGGAATATCGCCACGTTTTCAGGGGGGGGGCGAATTTCCTGGGGGGCGACCTTTTTAAAAATTCGATCTTGCCCCCCCAAAATTTGAGTTTGCCCCTCAAATGCCCCCCCAAATTTGGAAGCCTCGCGCCGCCACTGGTTTTCTCGAACAATTCTCATATTTGTAGTATTTAGGATGCATGTTTATATTGTATACAATCGATGATAATTGTAATCACTGTTCTCCCGTTAATACCAGCAGCATTGCTGATGGGATTTTTAACAGTTTAAATAAAGTATTTATTATTATTTATTAAGTGAAATAATTTTGGCCAACGGCCCACGGCCTAGTACTGGGCACGAGGTTGTTTAAAAGACTTAAAACCATTTTATTAAAAACACTGATTTTATTATACTGTTTTAATAATTTTGTATACGTATATTTACTGCAAGAAAACATTAAAAGGTATGAAAAGGTGAAATGAAGGAAATCGGTCAAGAAAAAAAGAGCAAATTTGCAAAAGTCAAAAATGTGCGTTGGCCGGGAATCGAACCCGGATCTACTGCTTGGAAGGCAGCAATGCTAGCCTTTACACCACCAACGCGAACTTGAGATAAATTTACTATTTTAGATATTTACAGGTCTTACAGATAATTAGATCAAGCCAGAAATACGTAACCCGTTGCCAATTTTATCCCGATCGAGATCTCGGGATGTTTTGAAGCGGTTGGGGATTTTTTTTTAAATTTTTATTTTGAAAAGTCAATTTCAGGATTCTTTTGGGATTTTTGAGAGAGGGAAGATCGAAGTTTATAAATTGATTTTTGGGTAAAATTGACCAGAAATAAACAATTTTGCTAAGGGACCATTCATTATTTATGACTGGGGGTGGGCTGGCAAAAAAAGAGGGTGGGTCATGAGGTATTTTTGACCGAAAAAGGGGGGCCACCTAAAAACCATGGTTGAAAAGGGGGGGTCCAGTTATTTATTATAGTGGAATTATAGTGGAGAAAAATTTGACATGTAACGATTATTGCTACCACAGGGAGCGAGCAAGGGAGCAAATTTAATTCATGCATGTATATATAGCTAGCAAAATTCTCAATATTAATCAACAGAAAGACCCAAATTGCAATGCATGCACAAATATCCAAAATGCAATGAGTACAGCCAATATGAAAACCATCACAATTCTGTCAAATCTTCCCTAAAGTCCAAGAAATGGCATTTCAGAGACTCTAACTGATTTAAAATTTCCTCGGGCCTTTGGCCCTCCCTTTCAGCTCCCCAATCAAAAAGAGCTTCCTACAGCACTGTATTACCCTTTATAAATTACCCTTTTTCCTTTTTGAGCAACTTTTTACTACACTC